TGGTCTTGGGACTTCTCTCTCCCTGGAGTTTCTGCAGAGAAGATTTGGGGGACTCACTATGACATTCTGAAAAGTTTGAAGACCCAGAAGTCAGAAGGCATCAAGTGACAAAGTTCTAAGCTCTTCAGAAAGGCTTCTGACTTAGATGAGCCATGCTCATTTGATCCATAAGAACAGGTGGGTCTCCAAACCCGGCAACTTTAAGACTTGTGGACTTCAACTCCCAGAATTCCTTAACCAACCATGCTGGCTGGGGAATTCTGGGAGTTGAAGTCCAAAAGTCTTAAAAAGTTGCCAAGTTTGAAGACCCCTGCATAAGAATATGCAATTTGTTGTTGATCTTAAGATGATCACTGCCCTCTTTCATAGGTAGAGTAGTACTCCACTTATGGTGCTACACCTGCGGTATTGTTGGAGTGCATCCAAAACCTGTACTCTCTTTGCCTATGCCAGACATGTCAAACACAAGGCCTGCGGGCCGGATGCGGCCCGCGAAGTGGTTTCATGTGGCCCGCGAAGCCATCCTGGAAACCGTGAGGGAACGGCCCCCTCTGCCTTGGCCCTGGCCCAAGCCAGCCGGGAGCCAATGTACAATTTTGTGGTGGCCATCTACGCTGAAACGCATTCAGTCTTAGCTCCATAAGCCCCCCCGCATGGCCTGAGAGGATCAGTGAGGCTCCTCCAGTGGACCATGCCTTGATGCTTGCCCTGGTTCCACCCCCTTCTGCCAGAGACCCTCAGATGTGTCCCATTCCTGCCCAGCCCCCCACAGGCACCCTTGATGTGAACGGTGTAGAGCTGGCCACACTCACCCAGTAGGCCACACCCACTCCATCCACACCCACCCAATAGGGCGCACCCACCCTGGCCACACCCACCTGGCTCCCTGAGGGCAACCGCAATGCTGATGCGGCCCTCAATGAAATTGAGTTTGATACCCCTGGCCTATGCCGTCTCCCTCCCCCTCTGTTGAGAGAGGACTGTTCAATTTTTACATAGATGGGCCTCCTTGAAGCTTCCAAGAAGCTTCTTGGATGAGAAGCGAAACGTCTTCAAAGAAAAACAAGGAAGTCCAGTTGCCTCATGAAAAAAAGCACCTTGGGGACAACCGTAGAATAGAATAACAGAGTTGGAAGGGACTGTGAAGGTCTTCTAGTCCAACCCCCTTGCTCGTGACCTGGATGACTGAGAATCTCCATAGACCTCTTCTCCCTCCTACTCACCAGCCACCATCTGTAGTTCTCCTGGGGCAGGAAGGCATTTTGAGTGGTTAAGAAGGGTTGGATGGTTACGTTGAACCTTTCTTCAAACCAGGCTGAGCTCTGTTCCAAAATGCAGGTGTCACAACCGCAGGGCCTCCTGGAGTATTTCAGCAGTTTTTTCACCTGCTCCGAAAACTGGTAAGCGATCTGCTTGGGATCCCAAGACGTGGACACTACGTTGTTGGTGTAGTTGAGCAGGAACGACGTGATGGTGATGATGAAAAGTAAGGCAAGCGTGAACATTTTCAGGCCCTTGTTCCGAACGGCCATCATTTTTGACAGCTCGGTCGGCTCCTTTACACAAAGGGGTCCAAGATGAGTAGAGGTGGGAATTTAAAAAAAAAAAGGGATCCAAAATTCTCGTTGAGCCACCGGCAGCCGTTTTACTCGAAGGAACAGCCCTTGAGGTGGTCTTCTGGCACTATGAAAGGAAAGCAAATGTTCCCCCCTCTTCGTCTGCAAGCAGGTAGGGCAAAAATATGTCTTTTCATTTTTCCTTCTTCTCTTCTTCTCCTTGAATAGCTGCTGCTTTCTCCTTCTGAAAATTGAATCAAAACAGAAGTATTGTAATCTTCATTTTAGCAAACGCAGGCTTAGGTAAGAAAAATACTCTTTTCCTTAAAATCTTTCTTTCTTTCTTTCTTTCTTTCTTTCTTTCTTTTTCTTTCTTTCTTTCTTTCTTTCTTTCTTTCTTTCTTTCTTTCTTTCTTTCTTTCTTTCTTTCTTTCTTTCTTTCCTACCTACCTATATCTGTCTGTCTGTCTGTCTACTTCCTACATCTATCTATCTATCTATCTATCTATCTATCTATCTATCTATCTATCTATCTATCTATCTATCTATCTATCTATCTATCTATCTATCTTCCTACATCTATCTGTCTGTCTGTCTATCTCTCTCTGTCTACATCTATCTATCTGTCTGTCTGTCTGTCTTCCTACATCTATCTGTCTGTTTATCTCTGTCTGTCTACATCTATCTATCTATCTATCTATCTATCTATCTATCTATCTATCTATCTATCTATCTATCTATCTATCTATCTATCTATCTATCTATCTATCATCTATCTAGTCATTGCTTAGAATTCATACAAAGTAAGATCATCAGGAATAGGAAGTCGCAACCTTAATGTTATAAACTGAAGGAATTTCTTTTCCCTCCTGGAAACACAAAAGATTTAAAAAAACAAAACGGTTTTACTGTGCCTTTTAATATATAGTTGCAACATTTATGTTCTAATTCTTGTTTTAAATGAATGCAAATTAAACTCTAGGAAGAGATTGGGCAACTATTTGTCTGAGCAGGAGGTTGGACTAGAAGATCTCCAAAGTCCCTTCCAATCCTGTTATTCTTCTCTTCCTCCCAATGAGTCCTTCCTGAATTGCAAAAAATGTTATATAAACACTTGCAACGTCACACAATGATCTGCGTCTCTGGCTAGCTGAATGGCGAAAAACTGTTATGATTGGCTGACTGAATGTTTATTGTGATTTTTGGCTAACCAAAGTCCAGTTGTGCCATCTGAAGTCTAGCTTTCCGAGCGTTTCACGGACTCTTTCGTCAACAGTATCTGTTTTATTTTCACTGGCTGTTCGTCACAAAAGTGCCCGTAACAGAATTAAAAGCAGGTGGAAAGGTACAGAAAAACTTCACCTGCCATGTAAAATAGACAAACCTTAATTTGTCCCCCCACACGAACTGTGTTTAAGTTGCTTAATTTAACAGTTTCTTTCTCTTTAAGGTTGGTTCAGTTAAGCCTCTGGGTGGCCTCTACAGGCCCTGCCTCCCTGTATTTGGAGTTCTCCAAAATTGGCCGTCATTTTTTGCATTTTTAACGTGATAGAAAGAGGAAAAGTGTTAAATAAACAGGGGATTAGCTGTACTGAATTTAACACACACACATACAAAGAATTCCTTTTTCCCCAGCACGGAGTCCAAAATATTTTTTTGTTACTGTAGAGCAGGGGTGTCAAACTCAATTTCATTGAGGGCCGCATCAGCATTGCGGTTGCCCTCAGGGTGGGGGGCAGGGGTGTGTGTGGCCAGGGTGGGTGCAGCCTACTGGGTGGGTGTGGATGGAGTGGGTGTGGCCTACTGGGTGGGTGTGGCCAGCTCTACACCGTTCGCGTCAAGGATGCCGGTGGGGGCCTGGGCAGGAGTGGAATAGATCTGAGGGTCTTTGGCAGAAGGGGGTGGGACCGGGGCAAGTGCCAAGACATG